TTTTTTTAAAAAAAAGACGTATAAAGAGATCCTTAATTAACAAAATCATTTGGCCTCAAAGATTCCAATTGTATGCAAAATACATTTCATTGGGGAAGTTAATTTGCTTACCTTTCCCTGTCAAAGCTTTAAATTGGGCCCAAGTGCCTTCATTAAAATTGAAGCAGGGGGCTAATAATCATTCCCTCCCCCCACATTTATGCAGCATTTCTCTTGATTAAAGAACTAAGAGTGTAATTGTTGTTCAGATATAGTGTGACTGAGTAAAAAAGAAAGAAAATTGCAATGTTCTGGTGTCTTGAGAAAAAGACGCCGCCGCCTCTTGGCCATGGGCAGAGTTTGTTTTATGATTGCGTGAAAATTCTTGCTTGACCTTTGAAAAGAAATTACTGTAGCTGAAAAGATGGAGCCTTTCCATGTTGAAGATGTAAAGGTTATTGTGAATGTCATGCATGCACCTCAAACGAACGGTATCATCTTGAACCCACTGGGGGTTTTCTTATGCTACTTTGCCTGTTCACTGGTTCACAGTCTAAATGCAGTGTCTGGTTTCTATAGGAATCTGGTTTCTCTCCTCAGTGACATCTTAAAGGGAACACAGAATCTCTCCCTCCCATATGTTCTATTTAGGCAGTCACGATAGGATTTGTTTCTGCTAGGGCTGTGCATCAGAACCGGACAAATCCCAAATTCCAAACCAAGATGGTCTTTTTTCACCCTGATTTATATGGGCTCTCGATCAAAGCGGAATGGCCAGATTCACTCTGTACTGATGAAAATTTACAAAGCGATTTGTTTTCCCAGAGTCCTCATTCAACAGATGGGGCACAAACCACTTCACCCTTTTTATTTATTTCTTGTTCTAAAAAGACAAATCTAAAGGTGCAGAGTAGATAAGCCCCTGAAGACTGAGTCTCCGACTGGTTAGATTTAATCCCATTTTTTAGGTCTTTCCTATCTCCAGATTTCACTCTGGTCCAAAACTAAAAAAGTTACAGCTATTTTGGTTTTCCAAACAAAAGGTAATTAGAAGGTTACAAATCAACTTGGATTGGAAGGACAAATCAAATTGGATGGGGCACAAAGGACTGGCAATAGCTCAGATGTTTAGGCATCAAGACCATGTAGCCAGAGGTTGGGAGTTCAATTCCCACTGTGTGTTCTTGACAGGGACTCCACTGAATGATCCATAGGGTCTCTTCCAGCTCTGCAGTTCTAAGATTATAACACACTGCTCATGAGTTTAGGTTTCTGGCTGTGGTCGGGGCTGTGGTCGGGAGTTCGATTCCCCACTGTGCCTCCTTGTCAGGGGCTGGCCTCCATGATCCATTGGGTCCCTTTCAGCTTTGCCATTCCGAGATCATTATTATAAATTGTTTCAGGCCGAGTCAGGACACATCAAAGCTTTAACTCACAATATTGGTATCTGGGGCAACCAGCCCCAAATGCACCCACCCATCAACTTTGCAATTCATGATATAAAAATAATACAAGATGCAAGTACAGCACTGCCAGTATCTTAGCGCCACAGAGAATCAGTATCACTGTCAGTGTCACTACAAAAACAAAAACAGTGTAAACAACAACAAAATGTTTAATTGATTAACTACATGCCACTGAGTCAATTCCAAATGATGGTGATCCTTTCCGGGGTTTTCAAGGTAGAGAGCACTCAGATTTCCATGATTCTAAGTTGATTCTCACCATGTTAGACTTGGTGCCTGTTCGAGCCACTCTCCAGGGTCTCAGATAGAGAAGGGTGTTGCCCATCTTTTAAACTGAAGCCAGTTTTAGGATTTCAGCTGGGGGTTTTCTGCATGAAAAAGTGAGTGGGAAAGGTGCCCTAGCGCTTTCCCATTGTCTTCACCCAGCGTCCTGGTGGAGGTAAACCATGTCTTAGTTCTTATACCTAGACCTTGCATTCCTAAACAAGAGTTGGTCTGGGGGAAAGACCAATAGGCTTCCACTGAGCTGAGATATCACCTTGCCAACGAAAGTCCGAATAGTCAAAGCTATGGTTTTTCCTGTAGTGATGTATGGAAGTGAGAGCTGGACCATAAAGAAAGCTGACCGCCGAAGAATTGATGCTTTTGAATTGTGGTGCTAGAAGAGACTCTTGAGAGTCCCCTGGACTGCAAAGAGAACAAAGCTATTCATTGTGAAGGAAATCAGCCCTGAGTGCTCACTGGAAGGACAGATCTTGAAGCTGAGGCTCCAATACTTTGGCCATCTCATGAGAAGAGAGGACTCCCTGGAAAAGGCCTTAATGTTGGGAAAGTGTGAAGGCAAGAGGAGAAGGGGACAACAGAGGATGAGATGGTTGGACAGTGTCATCAAAGCAACCAACATGAATCTGACCCAACTCCGGGAGGCAGTGGAAGATAGGAGGGCCTGGCGTGCTCTGGTCCATGGGGTCACAAGAGTCGGACACGACTAAACGAACGAACGAGCTAGGGTGGGTCACCTCGAGCTCCAGGTGCTACATACACTCGTCTATATACCTTGAACACCTGCTCCCACAGTCCCCATACCAAGATTTTCCCTTGTATTTTTTTAATATGAAAACTCCTTTTTATTTTCACTAATATTAAAATTTTAAAGAAATAATGAAATGGGGTGTGTGTGTTGAAACCTGGATAGTGCCAGAAGATCCTAAAGGGAATTTTCCACCAAAATTTTCACTTTTTTAAACTTTAGGAGGACAACATGAGGATGGGAGTTATGTTAAAGAAGGGCAAAACACCCATTGATTATACAGTCATGCCTCACTTTAGGATTGCCCCACATTACGACGAAACTGCATTATGACAATCTTTTTGTGATTGCAAAAACGATGGTCTAAATGGGTTTTTTCGCTTTGCGATAATTGGTTCCCTGCTTCGTGAACCGATTCTTCGCAAAATGACAATTTTAAAACAGATGATCGGTGGTTTCAAAATGGCCGCTGGGTAAACAAAATGGCTCCCCGCTGTTTTTTGGGATGGATTCCTCACAAGACAGGCAGCGAAAACGGCTGCCCTATGGAGGATCTTCGCTGGACGGTGAGTTTTGACCCCTTTGGAACGCATTGAAGGCATTTCAATGCGTTTCAATGGGTTTTTTCCACTTTACAATGTTTTTGCTTAATGGTGATTTTCCTGGAATGGATTATAGCTGTTAAGTGAGGCACCACAGTACAGAGTCTTCTGCTGATAGCTGCAACGTCACCGTATATATTGAATGACATGGGTAAATTGAAGCCACTTTTTTCAAAAGCTACAGTTTATTTTAACTGACAATATAAGACAAAAGATTGTGCGTGCTGTACTCTCAAAATGTCAGTCTGCAAAGGGCAGTATTTTAGAGACAGAACAACAATGAAAACAACACAAATATATAAATTGCACTCGCCAAAGAGGTTCTTAGAATATAGGGGGCGTTTTAAAAGCCATCTTTCCAGCCAGTAGGACAACTTTAAAAGCACTGGGTCCATTTCAGGATTCTGTGGCAATGATCTTCCCACAATGGATTTGATACTTGTTTGTATCAAATGAGAGAAAGAAAAGCAATTCATAACTTTAACAGCAAAATAACATGATTGGAGCTCCTTTTATATAGCTCTCTTTCATTTTGGTGATATATATGCAAGAGAACTTCCCAGAAAATGGTATGATCTGCATCAAGATATGAGAATTCATACAATTGTAGATTTTGCATGACCCCACACTCACCGTCCACATGTCTTCTGATAATGCCTATTCTGCATGATCATAATGTTTTATGCTAGCTCACAGGGAATGAAATGTAAAGACAGAGAAAAGAAACAGAGCCAGCCCTACTGTTTGGCAGAGTGAGACACGTGTCCCAGGTGGCAGATATCACAGGCAGCCGTAGCAGCACCTCAGATTTTCCTCTAACCACATGTCTCTTTTGCAGGATGGAGCACTGTGTGCCCTAGAATTGGTTTAGCCTTGCTTAAACTAGCGAAGTGTGTTGGGGGATCTTGCCCCATTGCCAGTGTTGAAGAAAACATCAGTTGCCAGACTAGCTTCTGTACATGGAGTTGGGTGTTTGTGTGTGCCACTACATCCTTTGTTTCAGGTGACAAAGTATCTTGATCTAGCCCTGGCTGAAGGAACCAACACTGTGCCTTTTATGTACACAAAATTTGATTATGTGGGCCATTAAGACTGTTCACATGCATGTCCTCCCCCCCCCCTAAGAGTATGGGTCAGTTTGAATACCTGCCCAGGCATTAGTGTGCTGATGCCAGAGAACCAAATCCAATGCTCATGTGTCACCCCTCCAGTTTCTGAAGCTCTTGTAGCTAAACTCACATCCACCATCACACCCACCCAACCATGCACATAATCTACTCATGTAACTAGTCCATCACAAGAAAAGGGATCAGAGGGATTGCGTGTGCTGCTCTGGACTTTCCAAAGTGGAAGTGGAACAAAAGCACACCATAGCAGCATGAGACAGGAATTTGCAATTTACATGATCTTTCTGCTCAAAAATTGGTTCATTCTGGGCCAAGGAAGGAATGACCAATCTTTAATTATCACTAGAACTGCTCAGCAGGTTGAGGAGTTTGTTCAGCTTTTAAAAAGCTGAGGTTGTTCATATATGTCCATTGGCGAATTATCATCTTGCCAATAATTATTGAATACATATGTTATGAAATTAGTTCCAGGATAACCCCTAAAAGAAGCAATGAGTCAAGATTAAGTGAACTAAGCAGGTTAAATGGAACGAATTGAAAAGGAACTGATTAAATTCAATGTAATGGTATATGAAAATAATAGTGGAGTTTTGTTAACATGTGTTTGTTAGGGATTATGAGTGCACAAGTTTCACATCCTGGTTTCCCAGTATTATCCTGGAGTACTGGAAAATTTGGACCCAGACATGACGAATGAATTAGGAGATATCTTTTGTAAGTAAGAAATAAAGTTCATCTGAATCCTAGTTTCTTATTTCATGCAGGAGTGTAGCAAACGAAGGGAAAGTGGAAAAGGAAGGGAAAGTGGAAAAGATATAACTAGTAAGAAAAAAAGAGGATATTAAAAAGCTGATAGGTTATGTTTGGTTCTCAAGTGTCCTGCCTGAACAGGAAGCGTTCTTTGTTAACTTTTAACTTATGTATGGCAGGAAGAGTTGGAAGGGAGATATAAAAAACCCAGAGAACTGATAACACATTTAGCCTGATAAAAGAAACCAATCCAGAGCATGGAGATAATCTGGGAGCTCTTCAACTATTGATACAATCACCAGAATAGAAATAGTTTGAAAGTTCACCATCTTACATGATAACAAGCCAATTTTCTATTCAATCAATGAAACACCGATTGTAAAATCATTATTTTCCTTCTCAAAGACGGGCACAAAAAAAGCAACACATAAAAAACGATGTGCAGGTTCAGGTGGCTATTAAAGACAATCCTTGGCTTATGAATCCTTCCACTCTCTTTTATCCATTATATTCACAACAAAAAGTTCATTTCGCTTCAGGCCATTAGGCATCCTACGTTTACCGTGGACAGCTGTTGGAGAAAGCCTAATCAAAAAGGGTCCTCTTCTTCGTATTGATTAAAGAATATTCTCATAATATTCAAAAGCACAGGAAGTTGGCTATGCCCTGGATGTTTACTGTACTTAATTTTACTAATAATCAGGCAGTAAATTAATTAAGTGTATATTCCCTGGAAGCAATAAACATTTAGTGATGTGCAGCAAGAATCAGGTGAGTATCAGAGCATTAAGATGCCTCATTGAGATATAATCTCAAAGTTCTCTTCTTCCTCCGGAAAGTGCTGATTGTTTTGGAAGCTACTAAGGGCAGTTAATTAACATTACCATATATAATAAGAATGACATTTTGGAAGGAGCTAAAGGTATACTGATTAAAGTTGCCCTATAAAAGCTACAGCTCTCTTCTTGCTTAACCTTGGATGCATTCAAGTGTTAACATGGGGCAACAGCTAACAGACTAAGCTATGAAACAGGAAGTTTCCACTGATCCAATTTTTATCTACTAGGAAATCACTAGCAAGGATTTAGGGAAGCCCCTCCATAGACAACCTTTTTTGGTTTTAGACTAAAAATTCCAGAATTCCATTAGCACTGTAACAGCCATCCTGGGTGTGAGATTCTCAGGGTTGTAGTCCAAACAATCCTTAGTGTTTTGCATCTCTGAGCCACCTGGTATCTCAGCCTCAGTTTCCCGTCTGCATTACAGAGGATAATAATACTAATTTACCAAAGAATATTGTTGTAAGGATTACAACTAGATCATGCGTGTGAAGCACCTAGAAAGCGCTACACAAATGCCAAATATTATTAATAAAAGCCACTTGAAAGCTGTCCAATTTAAGCACACAGACGATAAGTTGAAATGGGTCTAGAAAGAGGAATGAACATTCTAAATAATCTAATGGAAATGCTACTCAACCAGCTGGCTATACGGGGTATTATTTGGATATGTTCTTTCTCTAGGCCTCTCTGCAAATCTCTGCTCACATTAAGAGGCTGGAGACTCCCAACTGCTGAGTCCATAAGTGGACAGCTTGGTCAACACTGTGAAGGATATGACCTATGACTCAAATCAGTTCATCATTTATGGGATGCCACTGCCATCCCATAAAATGGCACACTTGAGACTTCAATCTAGGCCTAAAGGCACTTGGTATATTTTGGGTGAAGATGAATCTTCCAGTGCCAGGCAGAAAAAGCTTGAATATAGTAACATCTTCTGAAACTTAAATATGGGGAAAACATATGCCTGGAGCGTTGAATAGCTTAGGAAAAGAGAGAGGCTGATGATCCCTATGACTGAAGATATTAGGCAACACTGGGGCGCAGTGCTGTGTGGCAGTACAAGGTGACTGCATGAAATTATATCCATATGTATGATTCCATCCATTACATGTTTTTTAAACCTGCGTTATGAAGGAAGGGTTAGATTTTCTGCATAACACATTGCTCTAATCTGAAATTATATATATAAGCATGCAGTCAACTACAATCATCCTTCAGTATCCTCCTTAATGTGCAAGCTTGCTTATAATTTTCTTTATATATCATAACAAGCTTGTATGTTATGACCTATATGTTACAAGCCATGCATCTATATATATGTGGATCCTCCCTTTTATTTAAATTGTAAGTGTGCTTAAGTCTTTTGTGTGTCATAAGTTCTATGCGGGGGTATGTGAATACATGGATGCATACCCCTGCATAACCCATGAAAGTAGGATTTTAAAAGCCTACTAAGGAAATTCAGCCAAAATAATACAGCCTTCATACAGGTAGCTCTAAAGACACTGAAAACTGTAGCCCTTGCGAAGCTGTTGTTTTCTAAGGCGTTCAGATAACGTGATCTGCATTACTTATGACTAACTGTCGTGGCACTTAGTACTTCTATGTTGGAAGACTCGTGGGGTCTTATACCAGTTACAATGCAGATTGTTAGCATAGTCTGGTGGCCACTGGAAGAATTTCCATGGACAGCTTCTCATCTAAGAGGAAGCAATCCTTTAAATGCAAAGAGAAAAGTCCAGTTTCTTTCTTATCGGGGTGGTCTTGCACTACAGATGCAATCACAACGCTCATGGTGCTCCAGTTGAATATCAATCAGTGCCATACTGTTCTTAGTTCTTCTCCGTCTCCTGAAATGACCTGCTTCAGGAATGAATCGCAGCACCTAGAGAAGGAAATGGATGGTTAGTCAGAAGCCAGTCAGAATGTAGGAAGAACTCATACATATGTTATATGTATTTTACCTGTCTGGAAGCCGCCTAGAGTGGTCGTATTGACCAGATAGGCAGGGTACAAATAAAATAAAATAAAATAAAAAAATAAATAGTAGTTGATTGACTAGATGGGCAGGGAATGAATGAATGAATGAATGAATGAATGAATGAATGAATGAATGAATGAATGAATAAATAAATAAATAAATAAATAAATAAATAAATAGTGCAGCACACATCCAAACCATGGAAAAATAATGCAACTGAAATTGTATAGCCACCTACTGAATGTGTCCATCATGACAAGCCAGAGGCTCCCTTGCTGACCTCTGCTTTCTTGTGTCATGTAAACCCTTCTCTGTCAAACAAGCCATGGCTTGCTAACCAGTCACAATTGAAACCATGGTTTATTGTTGGCTTGAACACAAGCTTGGAATGAAAAGAGATACCTCCCCAAATCTTTGTTTCTGTCAGTTTATATTGTTTGAACTCAGTGAAGATAACTTTATGAGTGATTTTCAAGAATGTTAGGATTTCTCACTTCTAGATGACAGCAGGATAAAGAAGCTCTGTTTTGTTCTGCTTTAGGACTTGATAATTCCTGCCAACATGACGTTCTACAGAATTCACCAGTTAACATGACCAGAAAGAAGCCATGTTGGGTTGGAGAGTTCTGAGATTTTAGTTAAAAAAAATAGCTTTTCCATGTTTTTTGCTTTGGCCCCAGGAAACACCACCATATGTAGGATGCTGATGTCAAGCCTAAGGAATGGGTAGAGTTTAGAAAACTGCCTGAGAGTGTATCCCCACCATCATCTCTTCTTATATCAGAGATCAAATCAAGCCTGCATGTGGAGCCATGTTAATAAAACTGTGATGGAAAATGCAGCTGCTGAGCCGTAGTCTGTGTTTATAGGAATATAAAAGATTACGATCTTCTTATAAAAGTTCTCACAGAATTGACTATGCATGAAAGCAGGTGAATGTGGTGCTATCCATGATTTCTGCCCTGTAACTATATGGGAGGATGTCAAGGACAAGGTCTTGTGTTACATTTCCTAATGATAAATTATTTCGGTTGTTAACGCAAGCTCCATCACACTCATTTGACTCTGTTTGGATTTTAGATGGCCATGGAATGACCTGGCTTCATTAAAAGTACTTGAGAACAAAATAGTCTACAAAAGGATGTTCACCAGGTAAAGACATTTAAAAAAGGTTGATTAATTTCCTGCCATTTAAGTAATTGGCATTTTTAAAGCCTTCCTTTGTTTATGAAAAAGTACTTCCCTGGCCTGATATTGGGGGTTGAGCAGTTTAAAAATGAGTTATTGATCTTTAAGAGGCAGTATATTTAGTGAGTGAACCGAATGCAAGGTGTTAAGTATGAAACTACATTGAGAATTGTTGTCTAGAATTAAGGATATGGAAATTGGACTCTCTCATCTGTCGGTGTCAGTTTTACATATATTATTCTGCCCCTTTTCTGCATTAATATGCAAAAGATTATTTTGTTGGAGGAGGAATCTTCATGGATATTCATACATAGTTCATGAATTTTATGGATTTTGTGATAAAATGCACAGTTTTGTATGTATTTTATGAAAAGCCTTGTATTTTAATAGACATTTTATGATATTTTATGCAAGTTTCAATGTACGTTGTCTTAGGTGTTTAAAGCTAAGCACTGTATGACAAAATGTGGAGAAGCATGAAATCTAAAAGGTAGCTTACATTCCCGTCTACACTTTTGTTTGGGCCATTACGGAACAGATTAGTTCATTTCCAAATACAGCCTGAAATATTTCAGCACTTCTATTTATTATATAGTGATACAGACATACAAGTATCAAAGTGTCAATCTGCAGGGAATTTTACAGCACACATGATCCAGTTGCTTGTTTAATATACTTTGCATGTGTTACTATTGAAGGACAACTTCAAGGCCTCTAAAGATTCTTGTTTATCTCTAACCAGCACCATATTTGGATAGCTCTTCAACTATCATCTGAGAAATCCAGTGTATTAAGGGTTAGGGTTAGGACTAGCAGGTCTTCTCTTTCCTGAACCACTTTCCAGTGTCTCCATGAATAGCACTAATTTTCCAGTCAACTAATAGGGACGGGATTTGGGGATTTTTTGGACTATAAATCTCAGAATTCTCCAGTCTGGGAGCTCTAACTGACAAACATAGCAAAGGGCATCGAGGTAGATCATCCCCAGCTACAAAGCAAAAAATACAGTAGTAATTTCACAGCTTAAAAGAATGAACTTCTGAATGTTTAGTCTCTAATTTTAAAATATCTTTTAAAATATTTTCATACCAGAAATAGAAACACTTTTAAATGTCTGTTTAGCTAGGAGAGTCCTGAAAGCGCTTTAATTTGGTCCTGACTGGTAGGATCAAAAGTTCAGCCCATTACTCTTCCCACTCCCCATAACTGCTGGAATGTTTATGTTTAGAACACTGGTGCTTCAAAGTTTTTTTTGTCTCTCAAATAGCTTTTTTTCAAAGCCCAGATACCTGGATTCCTTCCAAATAAAAAAGGGGGTGAGGCTAAGTATTTTCTTTCAAGGTACACAAGCTGGTCTTTTCAGTGTACAGTGGTGCCTCGCTTAACAAGTGCCAAAGCCCGGATAGCTGGATTACTTCCAAATAAAAAAGAGGGTGAGGCTAAGTATTCTCTTTCAAGGTATATAAGCTGGTCTTTTCAGTGTATTTGATTTGTTTTAAATCTTAAGACAGAAAAGGTTGTTGGTGTTTGCACAGGGGTGGGTGGGATAAAACAACTTTACTTATAACAAAAATACTGTAACTCAAAAACCATTACCGAAATGCCCCTACATTTGGCACAGAGCAAGAGTAGACTGTCTACTACATCTATTCCAAAGCTGGTAGACAAGAGGTTGGGGTTCAAAGTTATGATTTTTTTGTTTGGGGCACTCCTATTTTTTGAGTTGGCTTTTGGAATGCTGAATTGGGCTGTTGCACCGTATCTATTGCTGCATGCTCATGCAGCAATAATGCACATGGTCGCCTACCCAGGGCTCAAAGCAAACATGGTGACAGGAAGTCTAAGAGGGTTTTTAAAAATGAAGTTTGCACATTGTTGGCCACAGGACTGCCTCTCTAGGAAATGCACACCTTTAAGCAGAGCTCTGTCCCTTGAAAAGTATGAAATAATAGGGTTTCAGAAACTATGAGATGCAGATGAACCAGCCCTATTAATATGTCTGTCTTAACTAGTGTAGCAGCATAAAGTAGCTACCTATGAGAGATTAGGATGCAGACTCTGCTAGACTTTCTGCCAAGGTTACGACACCCGAGTATGATTATGGTGTTCTAGAAGTGAAGTGTAATGGAATACCCGGGAGAGGCACAGAACCCAAACTGCATAGAATGGTATATAAACAGCATGGAAGCAAAGGAAAGCCAAGAAGGAAGGAGACCTAGAAGACCTAATTATTGTAAGCCACTTTGAGATTCTTTAAAATAAAGATCTGGTTCAAAAATGTTTTGATTAGAGATGGGCACGAACCTTGGTTTGGAAGTTCATGACGGTTTGTATGCATAGAACCACTAGTGCCGCACATTCCCTTCTCCCACCTCCCTGGGTGTGTATGCATAGCACCACTAGTGCTGCACATTCCCTTCTCCCACCTCCCTGGGTGGATCCACCACTTACCAGCCAGTGAATCCTCCTCTCCGACTCCTCCTTTTTGGCTGTTTCACCAGTCTCTGGAAGGAGACAGGCTTCGCTGCCCGGCTTCCTTGGCTGATCGCCCACTCAGACAAGGAGGCAGGACAGGCAAACCTGTGCTCCTGCTGGGGACTGGTTGAACAGGCAAAGAGAGGAGCATGCGCCAGCTGGTAGGTCAATGGCCAGGGAGGCAGGGGAAGGGAACACACAGCACCTGTGGTGCCATATCTATCTATCTATCTATCTATCTATCTAGCTATCTATCTATCTATCTATCTATCTATCGATCGATCGATCGATCGATCGATCCATCCATCCATCCATCCATCCATCTATCTATCTATCTATCTATCTATCTAGCTATCTATCTATCTATCTATCTATCTATCGATCGATCGATCGATCGATCGATCCATCCATCCATCCATCCATCCATCTATCTATCTATCTATCTATCTATCTATCTATCTATCTAATACCCCGGCCATCTGGTCTAGCAACCACTCTAGGCGGCCTCCAAATACATAGATAAAAAACATACAAATATACACAACAATTATAACATCAGATAATAAATTAATAAATTATTCAAAGTGGCAAGAAAAGAAAAAAAAGAAAGAAGTAATCAAGGGTTAACTGGAGGGAAGACCTGCACGAACATCCATGTTTTTAGTTGGTTTTTGAAGATACCCAGCAAAGAGGCCACACAAATCACTGGAGGGAGATTGTTCCAAAGGTGAGGAGACACCACCGAGAAGGCCTGGTTTCTAGTTCTTTCCTTACGGGCCTCTCTTGGCGTCAGGCTCCTCAGCCTCACCTCCTTACTCGCGTGGGTGATACGGGTAGAGCTTGGTGGGAGTAGGCGTTCCGCCAAATATCGAGGTCCTAAACCGTTTAGGGTTTTATAAGTAAGCATTAATACTTTGAAGTCAATGCGGAACTGAATGTGTGCGAACCTGCACAAACCTCCTAACTGAAATTCATGCCCATTTCTAGACAAGTAAATAATTAAAAATTCAGTGTCTTGATACCGAACAATTTCTGCCTCTAGAAAGCTGGCACATCAGAGAAGAGATCTCTCACCTTCTCCTCGTCTTGATTATAGGTTTGCTGGCGTGAAGAGAATTGTTTTTAATAACATGGGCAGCATGCATTGAAGCATGACATGCAATTTGAATGGACATGACCCTTTGAGGAATGGGCCTTGTATCCCTGCTGAATGCTCAGATTAATTCATAGAGTGTAACTATACTAGCCATTAGCAGCAATCTGGTATCCACAGCATGGATGCGTACTAAGGAATCTTGGGATATGTAGTTTAGTGAAATGCTTATAATTTTCTGCTACATGAGCCCTAAGGCCTTTTCCTGAGTTCCAGCATTTGATCTCTCTACATAAAAATTCTAAGTAACTCTAAGTAAATCCCAGCACCCTGCAGAATGGAGGCAAGGCCGTTAAAAGTGGCATCAAACTGATACAACTGTGCAGTGCAGATACATAGAAAAGAGACTAAAGAGGCCGCCTCACCTGCTCCTTTGTTCCCGCTCACAACTCTCTCTGCATGTGCTTAGGAAGGGCTAGATAAATGCAGAAGCAAGCTGGAGGAGAGCAGTTAGCCTTAGGACACAGAGAGATTAGAAATTCTCACTCAGGATGAAGACACCGGACTGACATCCATCTTGTCTTTGATGCACTCAGTACAGATTTATCTGCCCAGCATCTATTCATGCTAATGTCTAAATCTGTGCTTACTGTACTTCTGATTCATACTTAAAGGATAACATTTACATTTAAATTTACAAAAGCCAAGTCATTCAAAGCGAATGTGAGAACACTGCCCTTAATTAATTCTGGTCTCTGAGATGAAATGAAGGGAAGGCATTAATAGCAACCTGGTGGACTTGATGAGTTAATTCCCTTTCACCTTTTGTCTTTCCAGTGGTATGCAGTTATTTTCTAAGGGTGCTTACCCAGCAGGTTTAGCCATATTTTCCCCTGAGAGGATTGCATTTAGCAGAAACTTTAACAGTAACAAGTGTCTATCAATTAATAGATTAATATTTAATCAGTTTTAGAGAAACCAATTTTTGCATGTGGATGTGTTTATTCTCTTTTCCCCCATTTCCATCCCGGTTTATTGCTTGCAAAGGAGTATAATTCCCTATTAGTTTGTTCTCCCCCCCAATAAAAATAATGCATTCTACTATAATTACAACACAGTTGTGACTTAGTATGCTAAGCAATAGGATTTCAGCTATTAATGGATAATGTCAGTCTTTTTGTGGTACAACTGTAGCTTTTTAGTTACATCGATGATGATGGGACTGTAGCCTCATTAAATGGTGGAGAAGGGCTATCACATGCTTCATTTGGTGGAAGATTTTCCCCAAATTTCTCCACGCTAATTGCAAATATTAGTCTCTGCTAGAGAAGATCCACTGAATGAATGGGAGTAGTTAAGTCATCATATGTACGTCCCATTTAGTCAATCGTCCGATTTGCTGAGATTAACATTTGGGATATGATCCTTTAAATTTGGAGTGGGAAAAACTTTAAGAAGAACATTCAAAAAAATTGTATGTGGGAGAAAATAAGACTCATATTTCCTTGTCCCAGAGAAGATGACCTGGTCTCCAGATGCCACCCTAACTTTAGAAAAATGTTCTACCATGCAGCAAAAATGTATTTTTTATCATTTTATTAATTTAAATGTTGACATCCCCTTAGTTTCACTGCAGGTGCTAAATGAATACTAAATATCTGCCACTAATGACATAATTGAGACAGGAGTGTGACAAATGCTAGCTAAACTCTTCATTTTCATTGATTCATATGTCACCCTGTATGAAGCCCCATTGGATTCCTTGCCTCCAGGTGCAGAATGAGAGAAGGGGGATCTCTCTCTTGATTGTCAGTGTCTCTGCAATTTGTGCAAAATGGATCTGTGCAAAAGTAGCATCCTTTCATTTGATGAGCAAACAACAAACAGTAAGCGCAAGACTGAGTGCCTGTTCAAAAACATATCAGAAACCCAATTCACTAATCCTCCAAGTTCTTAAAAGTCCATGAAACAAATAAGCAGCCATTTCAGTTTTGTGCAATTCTGCACAATTTCCATACAAAAATGTGCTCGCCTGGACCAGAAACCCCAAGGAAGGTTTTCAGACTTTTCAAATATGCCGTGAGAGCACAGAGTGCCGTCCTCTGAAGATGCCGGCCACAGAGACTGGCGAAACGTTAGGAAGAACAACCTTCAGAACACGGCCAGAGAGCCTGAAAAACCCACAACAACCATTTTCAAATATTGCTTGTCCTATCCAAAGAAAACACCATGGCAGTGTGCAGACATAATCACAACAATAAGTGCAAAGCAATCTATATCCAATACCTCGTGATATTTTTTCACTGATTTCCCTGCCGTACACGTGCAGGATTTCCAATGTGTAAAGCCACATCCACAGTTTCCACCACAGCGCTGGACAAGAAGGCAGCGTGGAAAGAAAACCACATTGGTCTGCTTCAGCTCCTCCCTTATGTTGACGGAATAGTTCCTTGGAGTGCAGCTATAACGTTTGACATCATCATTCAACCTGTCCAGATCGACTAGAACAGAGAAAGAGAATAGATATCTCATTGGTATATACAGATTCTGCAATTAGTCCTCTATATATCTAATGGCACAGACAAACCTGTATATTTCTAATTTGCATCATATTTGCATGAACCAAAAGTGCTTAGAAGATTTTTTTTTTAAACCCATGAGCACATTGCTGATATCTTTCTGCATCTCACCCAGCCGAAAAGAAGGCAGCTTCACAGGATTTTCTGATTCTTCTCTAACATAATGTAGTGGCAGCCATTTCCTCTCCAGGCGTTGCACACTTCTGTTTATGCTCTCCGGAGTGAGAATAGTTACTGCTGGTTTGCTGTTTCTCTGGTGGTTTGGTTTCACTTTTGTGGCAGCAAACAAATGTGTTGATTATATTTTTCTTTTTCAAAATTATCATTCATCATCATCATCATCAACAACAACTGTACTGGGAATTTGGGAAGGGATTTTCAGGTAGCTTAGGCTACTTGGAAGGGCTGTTTTCAAACTTTTTTTTCTGGAGGTTTGTGTCATGTCGTCTTGCATCTGAGGCACAGTGGGTGGGTGGGAATTTGTTGGTGGGACTTGTGTGTGTGTGCATGCGTGTTTAGCTGGCAGGACTACATTATTCAATCAGTTTTGAAAAGTTTAGTTTGGAAATTGGGAGGCTTGCATCTCAGGCACAGTGGGGGTATAGCTGGATCAATCCTTTTTTTCTCCTTTTCCCTAAAACGAAATTGGTGTGACTTGTCTCTGTGTGTGTGTGTCTCTGACAGACTTAGCTGGCAGGGCTTTTCTTTTTGAATTTTTTTTTTTTGGCTTTTCATTCAGCGACAGTGGGTCAGGGGGATGTTTTTACTAATTATATTATACTGAGGTGTCTCTAGGTCATCGGGAGCCAGTGTTACAGGCATTTAAAGTGCAGATGAATCGATGGATCGATCCGTTGATTCGTCAAAGAATATCTGTATATTCGTATTCGTTGATCCGTTAACCTTGATGAATAACAGATCAAAACGAATTGTCAATTTTTTTTTATTTGTCCTCATCTCTATTTCCCATCCTTATTTGAAAGGAGGCAAGAGAGTTGGCAGCAGGTAATTGGCAGCAGGGCCAGCTGAAGACATTTTACTGACTGAAGCTAAGCAGAAAATTGCAGCTCTTCCTCCTCCCCCACTGGGTAAGTTGCACTGTACCCAAAACCAGTTAAGATCTTTTGGCATACGAAGTAGAAAATTGCAAAGCCTTAATTGAAAAGTACAGCATCCTTAGAATTTCAGCTTCCAAAGAACAAGACTTATCGGAATATAGAATTAAAGGGTTCCCAAGACTGCCATTTCAGGAAAACCTAGCTACAGCATTCTTAAAGGACGGTCATCCAACTTCTTCTTAAAATCCTCCCATCAAGGAAAGTCCACCACCTTCAAGGTGGTGTTTTCCGCTGTTGGCAGTGCTTGCTGCCAAAAATGACTTCCTTTTGTTTAGTCAATAGCTCCTTTCTCATAATTTGAATCCACTGTTTCACATCTTACTGTCTAGAACAGCAGAAAGCAAGGAAGGAAGTGGAGTGTCACCACTCCCCTAACTGCAGGCATTTAAAACTTCTTTGTTTCAGGCCCCATGGTGTTGGCCAATGTGGGGAACCCCACCAATGGGAAAAGGACTTGAGACCAACCTGGTGGTGCTGACTGAAGCATCTCTGGACTTGGACCTACGCGAAGGGAACTGTTGGGACTATTCTGAAGAGAACAGTCCCAAACGTAATAAGTACTGGTATGTTTGTAACACCCCTCTCAGTTATAATGAAACTTGTTTCTACTGAACCAGTGTTGTCTATGGATCCAAGGATGGAGGAAGGACATGGCTAGAGTCAGTGGGGCTCACAAATTACATAAGCTATTTCTTCTGCTGCATTTTAAAGGAGACTTTTATTTTTTGGGGGGGAAAAACAACTAAAGCTCTCTCCATTGTCATGCCTTAGGGGATGACTGAGAGCAGATCCTGCCCCTCCTCTGTATGACAACCTTTCAAGTACAGTACAATGGTGCCTCGCTTAGCGATGTTAATCCGTGCAGCAAAAATGGCTGCTAAGCGATTTCATCGCTAAGCGATATTAATGCGTTCCTATGGGCTTAAAAACTAACCTTAAGCAAATATCCTCCATAGGGGTGGCCATTTTCGGTGCCTATAAAGCGAGGCAACACAGTGGGTGGCAATTTTGTTTACCCGGTGGCCATTTTGGAACTGCCAATCAGCTGGATGAAAACGGCAGCTTTGCGATGATCGCTTCCCTGTGATTATCACAAAGCGAATTTTCCCCATAGGGACCATCGCTAAGCGATCGCAAAAACATTGTCGCAAAGCGATTTCTTCATTAAACGGAGCGATCGCTATGCGAGGCACCACTGTATTTGAAAAGTACTATCATATCTCCCCTCAGTCTTTTTCTGTCAAGGCTAAACATGCTGAGTTCTTTCAGTCTTGTAACTATCTGTTTGATTTCTTTTTCCTAGGTGCAGTACTTTGCACTTATCCCTGTTAAATTTCCATTCTGTTGTTTTCAGTCCAGTGCTCAAGCCTATCCAGATCAATTTGAATTTGTTTCTCTCTTCCAGGATTTAGACATGTTCAGAGTACTGTACAGTACTTAGCTAGGTAGCAAGGATCATAGAAAACTGTGCTCTTCCTGATGTAGAAAACCTACATACAATCAGCAATGTCTCTCGTCTTAAGCCTCAGTAATGATTACATGTTCAAAGCAACAATGTAAGGTTAAATGGCTCTCTTTAAACATATTCAGATAAGGCTGAATAAAGCTTAAGTTTCTTGACCTTAAGGCTCCAATATAATCATAAAATTATGGATATAATTCCTTGTGAATGTTTGGACACTTGAAGGTGAGGGGTTGTGGAAGCTAAGCAGGATTTTTAGAGGTCTAAAATGAAAACTTCCCATACATAATGTTAATTTAACAGAAACACATGCTTTACTATGAAGTTTTGCCTGTTTCCCCAAGAGTGCCGCTATCTCCACAAAGAAGTATGTATTGCTTTAGAATAACCACAAAATCAATGAGAGATACTGGTGCGCTCAAGCATTGAAGGCAAAGTCACCCTAGTGTACATAGGAAAGAGTGAAAATAGAAAACTATTGATTATCTCATCCTAACAGATGAAATTTTGTGCTTTGTTGTCACTCTTCCAATCTCCTGCCTCTCAAGCCTGACCGTTCAAGCTAATTCTCTTCACAAAAAAAAGGGTTTTCCAAAGTGTCTCCCTCTTATAATCCCTCTCTTGCTAATTGTGGCGCAGCAGCCATTCCAGCACGCACACAGCCTGTGCAGCACGGAGCACAAGAAAGTTTGGGAACTACTGATCCAGAAGGAAAAGAAAACTTTATTTACCTCATAGAAATCATAGAAAAGTGAAGTTGGAAGAGACCTACAAGGCCATCAAGTCCAACCTCCTGCTCAATGCAGGCCTAACCACTGAGCTATCCAGCAGTTCAAAAAGCTCTTATCTGTTAAAAGTCAAGCAAGTCACTTAAAAAAAAGAAATAAAAAAATATAATTAGGCACATACACCACCTTTGGATAAATATGTAAACACAAACCAAATCAGGGGCATTTGCATGTTTCCTGGGTAACAAGGGGCCTAACAATGAAATGCTTTTTACTAAGAGAGTGAAAGGAACTTTCCAGCCCATCCCTTGTGTTAAAATTGGCATTCATATTTCATTATTAGAATTTGGAAAAGAGAAAGAAACTGTAAAGCACTCTCTTGGCGGTTTACACTTTCATTATGCATGCTATGCACTGCCCCCCAGCCACCTTGGAAAGATGGAAGGCAGAGTCAACTTTGAGCCATCTACCTGAGCCTGTTGGGATTAATCTCATGTCATGGGCAGACGTTTGAATGCAGTACTGCAATTTAACCATTGAGCCACAAGAAAACCTCAAGAAGATGAGGAAGATTACACATTTTACCTCAGAAATGTGTGTGTGTGTGTGTGTGTGTGTGTGTTGTGTGTGTGTGTGTGTGTGTGTGTGTGTGTGTGTGTGTGTGTGTGTGTGTGTGTGTGCTGCAGAAAAAACTCTTATAATCTCTTATTGCATCAATAAGGTCTTGTACCCAAAGCTACAGATTCGGTTCCAAGACATGGAAAAAATGGGGGCGAAGAGAATGGGCAACATGAAAGAAGAGAAGGCTCTCTACATTGCCCTTTTAAGAAGGAATCAAAGGGGAACATGCCCATTGCCCCTTTGAAGTCCCTCACCTACTCACTGAACAGTGACAGTCCTAGGAAGGAACTGGATCTTTCTCTAGGCAGCTGTGAAAAAGAGAGAGGAAAAATAAGAACAAAACAAAGGACAAGTGCTACTGGATGCTACTGGTGTCCTGTCCTACCTCTACCTTCCAATTGATCAGCTGGCCTTTTTCATTTCTGTTTCCCCATTTGTAGTAATGGGATCTCCACAGAAAGCCAAAAATGCCTTCAGGGACTAAGGCAAGGACTGTGTCAGAGCGTCACCAAAAAGGCATAGGGCAAGTTGGCCTTGCTCTATGTGCTCTTTATTCAGGCACAGATCAGGTTGAAGGATCTCTCAGTTAGTTATGTGCCATAAAGTTGGAACTAATTTATAGTGACCCTAATAAGGCCTTTCAAGGTAAGTGAGATATTTATGAAGTGGTTTACCATTTCCACTCCCATCAATGAGTTTCCATGGTCAAGTGTGGATCTGAACCCTGGTCTCTTGAGTCCTAGTCTGTCACTCTGTTTGCAAGAGTGGATAGATGGTACCATTGGGTACTCTGACGGGTCTTTACACACCCCTTAATAAAATGCTGCTTTTGTTATTGGAAATACAAATCAAACAGCCTGCCAATAAACTAACCACTAGCTGCCAACCACAGTAAGTGAGATTTCAGTCCCTTAGAAAAACAGTGAATTGAGGAATCACCCCTGACTTTTCAAGGAGCATAACTCCAAATTTTAGCACACCTATTATAGTGAA